AAGAATGAAATTCTACCATTTGCAGCAATGTGGATGAACCTGGAAAAAATTATTCTAAGTAAAACAACCCTGGTGTAGAAGGATAAATAGTGCATGTTCTCACTTATAATTGGGAGGTGAATCCATAAATAAATGAACAATTGAGACAGAGAGAAAGAAAGAAAGAAAGAAAGAAAGAAAGAAGTAACAATCACAGTAATATGTTGAACTTTTAGAAAACTAGAGGTGGAATAAGTGAAGGAAGGAAGAGACGGAGCGGGCTAATGAGGAATCAGTCAATGGACACAAAGAATGATTGCGTATTATAATGAAGAATAAGCTTACTATACTGATCTAACCTCCACACGTTGTACACAATTATTGAAAATCAATGTTGTACCCCACAGGTATGTATAATAAAAAAAAGTAAAATAATAAAAAATGAGTATACAATTTTAAAAAAAGAATGAAACAGGGCACTGTTAATACTTATCCTGGGAAAACATGCATTAAGCAGAACTCTCTGCTTAATGTGTTTGTTTCAATAGAAAATATAACTGCGTTATTAAAAAAATCAAAATAATTCATAAAAGGCATTTGGAAAAGTGTTTCTCCAACACCCAAGCCCATTTACTTCTTTCTACCCCCTACCAACCCCCATCCTCACAATAGGAAACAACTTCATTAGTGTTCCCTGAAATTCTCCAGTGTTCCCTTATGCAAAAACAAGCAAATATAAATATTCTTATATGCCCTGTGGGAATCTTCCCATATCACTGTGGAAGGTGCCTCCTCATTCTGGTAAACAGCTCTGTGGTGGTCCATTGTTTGGTGAATTTAGCCATCTGCTATTGAAGGGCTCTTGTGTTGCTTCTAGTCTTTTGCTATTATAACCAGAACCAAAATGAATAACCTTGTGTATACATCATTTTGTATATATGTGCATACATATCTGCAAGATAAGGTTTTAGAAATGAGATTACTGCATTCTATCACAATTTAATGTGTAGTTTGCTTAAGCACCACTAGCTTTTCATCCAAAGTGTGCTATTTTGTACTCTTATAAGCAGTGTATGAAAATGTCTGTTTCTTTGAGGCCTCTCCACCAAAGTGTGTTTTTAACACTCTGATCTCTGTCAATCTGAAAACTGAGGAAAGTATCTTAATATAGTATAAAATTGCATGTACCTTATTTTGAGTTAGGTTGAATATCTTTTCTTATGTGTAAATGCAACTGCTGTTTTATAAATACCTATGTTGGGGTCTTTCTTCCTCATGCTAACTTAAGGGTCTTGAGGAAAAGGACTGTTTTATGTATCGCATACTTTCCCTAGTGTGAAGTGTGGGAAATAGAAAGTGTTTAATGAATATATTTAATAAATTAATAACAGAATTTATGTGATATTCCCTCTCCTCAAACTATTTTAGCTGTACTTTATGTCACCTTTTCTAACTGTGGATCACATTTTTCTCTTGGAAAACAATTTTACACACACATATGCTTATAATATAGAATATTTAGATGAAAAAATTAAAGGTCACTTATAAAATTATTTTACAACAATTATTCATCTATTTCTTTATAGTTATTTCCCATAACATAGGCTTTTTTACATTTAGCAATCAGATACAATGTTGACACTTTTAAAATTCTGAAATCCTTCTTTTTTCACTTAACATTCTAACATTCTTAGCTGTCTCTCTTGCTAAATCATGAATTTCCTGATAGAAGCATCAGACATTGTCCTTTTCTCTTGCTCCATTTCTTTTTTTTTTTTTTTTTTTTTTTTTTTTTTTTTTTTTTTTTTTTTTTTTTTTTTTAAAA